GGGGGGGGGGGGTGAGGTTTACCAAATTTAAAAAAGATCTTCGCAAGTGTGCCAATTTTCTGTTAGAGGTCTCTTCTTTGCATTAAAATGCACAACTGAAAGCAGCTTTACTTACCTAGCATTGTGTATCAGAAAAATTTAGATAGGCATCAAAGCCAAATTTGGATAGTCCAGATTTACGAAATGTTCAGTACTTGGTCTGACTACTGAAAATTTGATCTGATGACGCATAGCTTATTACTTAACACCAATTAAAATTAGGTGAGGCAGTCAAATTCCTCTCGACATAGATTTAACCTAAAAAAACCAGTATGTTTTTGCTATTTTGGAGGGAAAACAGGAAAAGAAACAAAAATTCCAGAACTTATTAGCATGTCATGCCAAGGTATCTATTTCTTGTGTCTCATATTATTTGGTGATTGGGGAAAAGGGTATCGGATGAATGAGTTCCAAAAATTTGGTTATGCAGTTCTGGATATTATGGCAAAATGTGTGTTAAGTGTATAATATTTCATTGTTTAGGAGACAATGTTTTATCGGTGCAGTATTGTTTGATTAATCTTTGTGAAGCAAGACACCAGTTATTTGCACAGATCCAAATCACTCAATGAATCCTTCTTTCAAGTCTGCTGTACCACCTGATTTCTCATTACTACTTGATTATTAGCCCAAAGAAAAGATGAAAAAGTATACAGTTGAACAGCTCAAGTTTTTTTTATCATGACCTGATATTGTGAAAATGAGCTTGCACCTTTACTAGTACATTTAGTTTGACAGTTCTGTTTTCTTAAGCTTATGATTGATGAATTTACTTGTTTTTCTCAAATGCCCCTGAATCTCTGACTTTGCAATGAGCAATAAGGCATAAATTTCAAATATTTTGTTGCAGGTCCATGCTGAAGTTACTTGATGTTCTGATCCAGCTTGATCATCTTAAAAATGCAAAAGCTAGTATACCTAATGACTTTTCTTGGTACAAAAGGTAAAGATGTGCGTGTTAGTTGTTTGTTCTTCATGAGTGCTCAACTTTTCAATCCCTGCCGTTTACGACAATTGGTTGCACAAAGGCTTAACATGTTATAAATTGACTACTTAACAATAGTAATGCTTGTCAATCAAACCACGAGGGAATTATATGAACACTGTAAGTGATCGTTTAAAAGAAAAACACTGTAACTGATGGTAAAAGTTCTTTTATTTTCATGATTGCCGTCATGTTTGGTGTTTATTTATGAGCAGATCTTCCTTGTTGATTGCAATCAATACTTTTTATCTGCATATTTTATTGAAACTCTCTTAGTAGCAAACTATATTTCAGCAGTGATATCTTCTAAAGTGTTGCTTGTTCTTGTTCAGTGTATACCGAGTGTGGTCACTTTTGCTCCCAGACTTCTGTTCTGATTTTAATTTGAAAGCATTCTTGAAAACATAGATCTGTTATGCCACCTACAAAATTGTGTAACTACTAGGCACTAGAAAATTAGAGGCAATTCCAACACCCTCTCCCTGGGGCACAAAAGGGAGTGGAAAAGGCAGGATCCTCGAGGAACAACTTTGAGCTTTGAACTGCCAGTCTGCCTGGTGAAGGGGCCATATCTTGGTGTTCCTTTCACAGTCCAAAAGAGAGAACAATGACTAAGAAAGAAGAAATGGAAAAAGCCAAAGGTCCCACAAAATTTTATTTAATTGTTTGTTTGTGCTGGGTGCTTGCGTCAGAAAAAATATATATTTAGTATCTCATGAAGTATTAGTCACCAAATTCTTATGTTTATAATGAAGTAGCCTAAATTTGGAACAAAATGAGCCTGAATAGAGTGCAATAAAAAACAGAGGATTCATATAGCCGGCCAGACTAGTTAGGAATTGAGCTTAGTTGATCGATTGAATGAAGCGGCTGAAGAAATTTGTTACATGGTTGTTCTCTTTTCCCCTCTTTTTTGTACTTCTCCCAACATCAGGAATTTCAGTTCACCTTCCATTTAATAGAACTTCCTATTTGAGTGAAAGTGTTTCATTTGTTTGTCTTATCCAATATGTCAGAACATTCACACAAGTCAGTGTACAGTGGCAAGATACAGATTCAATGAGGGAGGAGTTGGATGATTTGCAGGTGCATATCTAATTCTTGTCTACGTTAAGTTTTTGCATCATGTGAACTTGCACGTATTTGTGTGTGCTGAACATGAATTGCACATATTTTCAGATCTTCTTGAGCACGAGGTGGGCTATTTTGTTAAACTTGCATGTTGAGATGTTCCGGGTGAACAAGTATCCTTCCAATAATCTTTCTCTACCCAGAGGAGTGGTGAAATGATGCTGCAGCACTGAGTGAATTTTGTTGCATATCTATGTCTGTATTTATGTTTGTATGTATGTGTATTTACTGTGTCTCACGGCCTTCAAGTTCTGTCATGATAAGTCTTATTTATTGGAGGCTAATCATCTTAGATATCTGAAAGTTCATAACGACATAGGTGATAAAACATGTAGTCTGAAGGAATTTTCATTTTCATCATTGTAAATCTTGAGGTTTCTTCATAACTGAGATATTTAACTTATCCGATTTTGGAAGTAAAAGAGAAACAGCTTTTCAAGTTTAATAAAAAATGTTCAGTTTCGAGTTAACCGAACTTAACTTTTTCAGACCTACTTTTTTGACAGAATTCCTGAAAAGGGAGCCAGAAGTTTGATTTGGAGGAAAATATTCAAATCTGACTTCTACAAGAGTCACTATAAGCATAACCATGCATTTTGCTAAAGGATCTTGTGCACATCCTGTCTTGAAGTTCAGAATTTTTACTTCATTTCTTTTATATACTTCTAGTTCCCCCCGAAAGCATAGTTTAGCGGTCAAGGGCGTTCAAAACCTTTGTGAGGTCAGCAGTTCAATTCTCACTAGCCACAATTGTTAATATTTTAACTTTCCTTTTCAAAGAAAATATATACTTCTAGTTCCCCCCGAATAAATGTTCCTAATTTTTTTTCCCAATCTCTCTTTCTTACCCCTGAATGAGGGTCAAATTATTTACGTATTAAACAAAATCCGTCCTGAAAGGAAAAAGAAGATAAAGAGGAAGAATGCATAGAAAAATTCTAAGAGAGACATTATCGTCTGAGAATGCTAAGAGAGAGCATTGGCATATATTACCCTCTGCTGATAGCTTTAGAAAGGTAAGATCAGAAATAACCAGTGCTTGACATAACCAACTTGGTATTTCCTGCTGGATTGATTTAACCATTGGGGCTGAATGGAATCCGTCTGGGAGGATCTTATGTTAGAAAGGTAATCAATGTTCCAAGTTCCAACCTCGACATCAGAGGTCAGTTCTTTCAGCTTTGCATTCTGAGGATCTGAAGTACCTTTTATATAAGTCACTTTGATTGAGTATAGCACAAATCATGGAGATGTGCACTTCTGATGAAGCCAGCACATGTCCATCGCTTTCAGGATATCTGACCACTAATGTCTGCACTTTGCAATTTTTTGTGTCTAAATATCATTTGCTTTGGTAGTAATTTCTATCATGTATGTCATGAAATTGTCTACTCATTTCCTGTGCTCTACTTTTCCTGAGCTCCTTGACTTTTTATAGTGTTGAAGACATTCTTCAAGTTCTCATTGTCTTCATAGTCGAGTCATTGGAATTGAATTTTGCACTTCTGTTTCCGGAGAGGCACACACTTCTTCGTGTTTTGCCTGTCCTTGTTGTCTTAGCATCATCATCAGAGAAAGATAGCGAATCATTGTACAAAAGGGTGAAAATCAACAGACTTATTAACATATTTAAGGTATGTTCATTTTGTTCTTATTATGATATAAACTTTAATACTACATACTCTCAACCCCTTGGAAAATTGTCCTTTGTTACCTTTCTCTGTATGCAGAATGATCCTGTGATACCTGCTTTCCCAGATCTTCACCTGTCTCCTGCTGCAATTTTAAAAGAGTTATCAGCATACTTCCCTAAATTTTCTGCACAAACTCGGCTTCTCACTCTTCCAGCACCTCATGAGCTGCAACCGCGTGAGGCACAAGAATATCCTTTCTCAGTGTTTCTGACCTTTAATCTTCTTTGTTGCTTTTGATGCTGTTCAATTTTGGGTTCATGCGAGTCAGATTCGGTTTTCCTGAAACTTACTTTTCATTACTGCTGATAACTTGAGAACAGATTCTGTTGAAACAGAATAGTACTTTAGCGCGGTGCTTTTCCTTTCCCTATTCCAATTGATTACTTAAGTTACAGAAAATCTACTGTTTTTTGAAGGAAATAGCTAGAGAAAGCTTAGAATATCTGGTTTTTTCTTTTTATTTTAACACTTTCCTCTCTTCACCAGCAGTCCCAAATTATTACTTTTCTCCACGAACATTATCACTTTGAAGTTTTGCGACCAAGNTTAGTATTAAAATTCAGTAAACGGCTTTTAAAATGTTTTTTTACTACTGGAGCAAGTATTATAAAATATCAGGAAGTTCATATTCAATGATAGAAAGTTTAAATGCTTTAGTTCTTTTAAAGTACATGTCATCTATGGGTGTTTATTTGTATTTTAACTTATAAGTAATTTCTCTATACTTTCCTTTTGTTTCCTCTATTTTGTCTGATAAACTTCATCCACTATCCACTGGAAGATCAAGTAATTTCTTAACGAACATTTACTTATCAGCGGCAATATCTGATTGTCAACCATATTGGGGCGATCCGTGCTGAGCATGATGACTTCACTGTTCGTTTTGCTTCAGCCATGAGTCAGGTGCTTCTCTCTCTCTCTCTCTCTTGACTTCTTCTTCTCTCTTTTTTCAATGTGTTCTACGACTTGTAAATAATACAGCTCGTAGAGTTGATGGCAAGTCAAGTTCACACATTCAGATTAGCATTGTTTTGATCAAAGACTGATTAGCAATGTTTTAGGTGGAGGTTGGATCTTCCATTTGAATTGAGCCCGATAATATATATGAACCTGGCTCGAGAAACTCAATATGTACGGGCCTATGGGGAGACTCGTTTTAGGTGGAGGTTGGATCTTCCAATATTTTTAGCAATGTTAATATAGACTCATTTATAGCTATGTATCAACACGGGTCTGTGAATATCTGTTATGGATACACACTTTTTACCATTTTTTGTTGTATTTTAAGAAATTTGCATGTCACACCCGTCCTCATGTCACACCCATTCATCCGCCACGAGTACATCAAGAGAAATGAATTTCCCATGTAACATAGCTCTTTTGCTTAGAGATGTATGATGGAAATGTTAATTTCAGAATATACTGAACGTGTAAATTAAATTAAATTATTTTTTTGCAGATATGATCAGTCTTGTACTTCAAATATGAATTTCCTTTCAAATTAATATGAATACTTAAATGTACAGCAGGGACAATAGAAAGCTAGGAATTTCAAGTTAAAACTAATTTATAAAGAGGGATTGGGAGATATGGAAGTTATTGAATGTCAGATGGATGGGTTTATTTATGATTAACATATGGAGTAAAATGAAAGAAAAGAAATGGAAAATTAGAAAAGTATTTGATTCTTGAGGATTGGCATGGCAACCAACTATCCACACTTTTCCTTTTTCTTTTCTTTTGTTTCTTTTCTTTTTCTTTTAGAATGTCTGGACCAGTGTTCTGGCTGTCATCATTCTTCTTTTTGTTCTTTTATTACGGTGTTGGGTTAGGGGAATAGGCAGAGCATGAGAATGGGATAAGGAAGCTGCATCAAACACAAGTGGCAAATTTACATAAAAAGTTTTTGGGGGGAGAATTTTAGTTTCCAATGAATTGTAACTGAAAAAGAAATTTTGGCCCCCAATGCTTTGGTCTAGTGGCAAGAGCGTAGCACATGATGTCTAGGTTAGGCACCCATCACGGGTTTGGACCGCACCGCAGGCAAAAGCCTAGTATTTAAATGGAGAAAGGTAGACGGGCAGGGCCATTATCCACCAATTTTGAACTATGCGCCATTGGCCCTCAGAAAAAATTGCATAAAAACTAGAAAACTAAACTAATCTCCCTTTTCGAGTTCTTTTTTTCAATAAGAAATGAAAACCCAACATTCACTAAACCATTTTTTTGCAAATACCCAGACTATGTTGCAAATCCTCATTAGTGAATGGATCTGATCATATTATATCTCGACTTTCTTTGCAGCTTGTCTTGCTAAAATCAATAGATGGTGTGGATGTTGAGTGGGTTAAGGAAGTCAAAGGAAATATTTATGACATGGTTGTTGAAGGTTTTCAACTTTTAAGCAGATGGACTGCACGAGTTTGGGAGCAATGTGCTTGGAAATTTTCTCGCCCATGCAAGGATCCTGTTCCAATAGAGTCACATGAGATGCCTGCATCTTTTTCTGACTATGAAAAGGTTTCATTTAATTTGATTCTTATGTAGCTAATTGCCCTCTTACATATAATGGTGCATCTCAGTGAAATCCTCAATCTCTTTTGCCTCCTCCCCCCCAACAACAACAACCAAAAAAAAAGGAAAGAAAGAACTGAAAAGAAAAGAAAATGGAACTGCCATAAAAAAAGGAAGAAAAGAAAACGGAACTGCTCCCTAAAAGATTGAGAAGAGCTGTTTTTTTTTCTTTTAAATTTAAAAAATGCATCTGGCATGATACCTGCAATTTTACTATTCTTAAATTGAAATAAAGGTAGTACGGTACAATTATAGTGCTGAAGAAAGGAAGGCTCTGGTTGAACTTGTGAGCTACATCAAGAGTATTGGATCGATGATGCAGAAGGTTGACACCTCAGTGACTGACGCCTTGTGGGAGACAATCCATGCAGAGGTGCAAGATTTTGTTCAAAATACGGTGGCGACAATGTTGCGGACTACATTTCGAAAGAAGAAAGACCTTTCTAGGTGGGAACCACTTCCTCTTATTTTTTTCTTTTTTGTTTCGGGCAGTTCTTACTATTCTCTTTTCTTTTATTAGGTCAATGAAAGCTCAAGTATATTTATCGTGGTAATAGTTTGAATGCATGTTTTGACTGGAGTAGGATACAGATTTCTTTTGGTGATTAACTTGTCTTTAGAGCAAAACATTATTACCCAAGTTAAAGAGTAAAACTATTTTCTTAAAAACTTATTTTGGGCTGAACGGAAAAGATTCCATTGATGAGAAATTAAAGGACAAAGTTGTCCCCGATAAATGAATCAAGTGATAAATTGGAACATTTTATAAAACTCCACTTAATCATGATAAAGGCTGTTCTTGAAAGAGGAGAGACAATTTATGAGTGATGAAACTCGGTAGAAAATAACATTCTGATTATGATGTTTATTATGAAAAATATGAAACACCTTTTCTTTGGGAACACAATTTGGAATTGAGTATATTTTGCTGAAGGTGGAGGCATACAATTCTACTTTGAAGTGTTGATATACAAATAAGTGAGAAAACATCAACTGTGACTTGTGAGATTCAGAAAGCAGCAAGTTGAAGCTTTTGCATAGTTTTTGGGAGTGTATTGGGGAAAATGATAGGAGAGCAAGGGAGCTATACTCGATAGTTGAAAGCTGAAATTTACAAGTAAGCAAAAGGGAAACCAGAGTGGTGCGAGAACTGAGCAAATTTGAAGCTAGGGATTATTGAAAAACAGACAAAAGAAAAAAAATGAAATTGTAGGTGTAATTGTTGTTGTACCTTGTAGGGTGGCTAAGATTATGTTTTACAAGTGATTTTGGTCACTAATGGGTAAGAAGATTATGGGGGTGTCTGGGATAAGAAATTATGTCCTCGGTCCTTTTTGGTCTTTGTATATTTTGTTTGTGTTGGGTATTCCATGCTTCAGGATATGCAAATGCTAAAGCATTTGAGGAAAATTTAACTTTCTATATGAATCCATACAGATTGGCTCTCGAGTATCAAACCCCACATACGCAATAGGTCTTTCAAGTTGGAGTACCTTGTTTTCTTACATAACTGATTTGGATAACTTGGATTTTGGTCTAATTGATGATCCTTCTAGTCTCTAATTGCTCTGCATTTTTGCAATGTTTTCAGGATTCTTTCTGATATGAGGACACTTTCAGCAGATTGGATGGCAAATACTAGTAAGCCAGAGACTGAAATGCAGTCATATCAGCATAGTGGTGAAGAAAGCAGAGGGACCTTCTTTTATCCAAGGCCTGTAGCCCCAACATCTGCTCAGGTTTCCTTATATTTTCAGACTTTGTATTCAGTGTTGTAGTACACTTCAAGTACAAATTCTGATTATTGTTAAAACACATGACAATCATAAATGATATTCTTATTAACTCAAGGTATTGCTCTGGGTGGAAGTGCTTCTTTAATAGTTTTTGATGAAGTAAGGTATTTCATTAGAAAGGCATCAAGTAGATGCAATAGTTACAGAATCAGAAGACAAAAATACAGAAAAACAAAAGTTTGTAAGCCCCTTTAGGATGTGCTAAACTATAACTAAGGAGCTAACAAAGTCCAAAAGGTGGTCAGTGCTAATTACAGGGGTTAACTTGACCCAGCTACAAAGGGTGAGCAAACAATTAACTTTTTTTGATAAGGTAAGTTGTATTAATCAAAAGGGAGAAAAAAACTCCCGTATACAAGAAGTATACCAAAAAGTAGAGAATTTACATCAAAACATGATTCTCTACAAAAGATGCCCAATCTTCTACACAAGTAGGTGCTATATGGGTGCACCAAAAAGCGATCAAAGATAAAAGGCTATTCTTAAGTTGTGAAAAAGAAGACTCAATCCCGTCAAAAACTCTCCTATTTCTCTCCCCAAACTATCCACATAAGAGTTAATGGGGCGAACTTCCACGCCTTTTGCTTGCTTCTTCTGCGGAAACCGGCCCAGCTATGTAGCATATCCTTCACAGTGCTTGGCATCACCCATTGAACACCAAAAAGATTCAGGATTGCCCTCCACAAACCCGAGGAAGCATGGCAATGCAACAAAAGGTGATCAACTTCTTCCCCTGAGCTTTTACACATGTAGCACCAACTAACAAGTGTAATTCCTCTCTTTCGCAGATTTTCAGCAGTCAAGATCACTCCCCTCGCCGCTAGCCATGCAAAGAAGCACACCTTCGTTGGCGCCCTAGGGATCCAGATCGAGGAGTATGGAAAAGTAGCCTCCTCTCTCACCAACATACTCTGGTAAAAGGACTTTATAGTGAACAAACCATCGCTACGCAACCACCATCTCCAAGAATCACAAGATCGATGGGGCCTTTCTTGCCCGTATAGCAGTGCCAACAAATCTTGTAACTCCGCAATCTCCCAATCTTGCATGTTTCTTCTAAAAGAGAGGTCCCATACTACCCCCTTCATGCTCCTTGCGAATCTGTTGGACCATCAGTTCCTTCTGGTTTGAAACTCTGAAAACGTTGGGGAAAGACACCCTTAGAGTATCCTCTCCACACCACCTGTGATTCCAAAAGCTGATTCTCATTCCATCTCCCAGTGATGTTGCCATTGAAGGCTTCCCAGTTCTTCATGATGCTCCTCCACATGCCACACCCGAACGGTGCTGTGATTGCCTTGGTTCTCCAACCCTCTCCCGTTGAATCATACTTTTCTACTATGACCTCCCTCCATAGAGCATGCTCTTCTACCCCGAATCTCCACACCAGCAAAGCTTTGTTGAATACCCTAAGATCTTTTACTACAAGTCCACCCCATTTCTTTGGGGAAGTGACTGTCTGCCAATTCACTAGATGAAAGTTTCTAGTTCCATCCGCCGCATCCCAAAGAAAATTCCTTTGAAGCCGCTCCAGTTTATCTGTGATGCTCACTGGAGCTTGCAAAAGGGACAAGTAATAGGTAGGGATACTCGACAAAGTACTTTTGATAAGTACTTCCTTACCGCCTTTTGACAAGTATCGTTTCTGCCAGCCTGCTAGTCTTTTTTCAACCCTTTCAATCACTGGATTCCAAACCGTAGTATCCTTATGCAAAGCGCCCAATGGTAGACCTAGGTAAATGATGGGAAGAGAGCCCAACTTACATCTGAGGACATGAGACAAAGCATCAATGTTAGCAACTTCACCCACCGGGAAAATCTCGCACTTGCCGAGGTTGATTTTGAGTCCTGATACTATTTGAAACCATTGCAGGACCTGCTTCAGGCAGGTCAACTGATCCATATCGGCATCACAGAAAACAAGGGTGTCATCCGCAAATAGCAAATGCGACTCTTCAGGTACTGGGCACCCCGATCGGAGCTGAGAATCCTCTCAAGAAGCCTCCGCCCGCCGCACGATCCATCATTTTACTCAGAGCATCCATCACTAGAATGAATAGCATGGGGGATAGGGGGTCACCTTGCCTGAGGCCCCTGGAGCTGCCAAAGAAACCACACGGGCTATCATTAACCAGGACAGAGAATCTGACTGAGGAAATGCAGAACTTGATCCATCTCCTCCATCTTTCCCCAAACCCCATCCGCATCATAATGAAATCCAGGAACTCTCAATTGACATGGTCGAAAGCCTTCTCAAGGTCCAACTTGCACAGTAAGCCGGGTTCCCTATTTTTCCTTCTGGAGTCTACTAGTTCGTTTGCCACCAAAGCGGCATCCAGGATCTGCCTACCTTCCACAAACGCATTCTGGGAGGACGAAACAGACACGTGAAGAACCTTCTTGAGTCTGTTGGAGAGCACTTTAGAAATTATCTTGTAAATGCTCCCCACGAGACTGATGGGCCTGTAGTCTCTGATACAAGATAAGCCTTCTTTCTTAGGCACAATAATAATAAAAGAAGCATTGATACTTCTCTCGAAAACACCATTCACGTGGAAGTATTCAATGGCTTCCATCAACTCCCCCTTAATGGTGTCCCAACATAGCTGGAAGAAGGCCAAAGAGAAACCATCAGGCCCGGGGGCCTTATCACCAGCACAACTCGACACAGCCTCGTGCACCTCCTCCTCCTCGAAAGCCCTTTCTAGCCACTCACTGTCTCCCTCCCCTATGTTGTTGAACTCTATTCCCCCAAAGTAGGCCTCCAACTAACTTACTCTTTGTATAAGTTCTCATAAAACCCCACTATCGCCCCTTTTACCTCCTCCTCTCCCTCAATCCTCACCCCATCCATAACTAAGGACTCTATGAAGTTTCTCCTTCGATTTGCGACCGCAACCCTGTGGAAAAACTTAGTATTTGAATCCCTTTCCTTTAACCAGAGCGCCCTCGATTTTTGCCGCCAACTAGTCTCCTGAGCTATTGCTAACTCAATTATTTCCCTCTTAACCTCCCCCAATCTCGCTTTCTCAAATTCATCTAGCTCCCTCGCCCCTTCCCCTCTCTGTAATTCCCCCAATTCATGCATAAGCTCTCTCGTTTTAACCTCTACCCTCCCAAAAACCTCCTTATTCCACCTAATATTATCTCCCTTGAGCAATTTGAGTTTCTTCGGAAGACGGAATGAGGATGACCCTGATACCTCGTAGCTTGCCCACCATTCTTTCACTTTGTCACCAAATCCTGGCACTTTCAACCACATGTTCTCGAATCGGAAGGGAGCACGCACCCCCCTCTTTCTGCATCCATCTAGCATGAGGAAGATCTTGAGTTGGAATCCTCCGCCCTGGCCCAAGTAAACCTTTCCCCTGACAGAGGAAGATCAATGAGACAATGATATTGATGAAGTCAGAAAATTCCTCTATTGCCCTCGAAATCAGGCGACACCCTAATCTCTCCTCTGGGAATCTAATAGTGTTAAAGTCTCCCCCTAGAACCCATGGAATGTCCCATTCCCCCATAATATTGGCTAGTTCCTCCCAGAAAGACACCTTGGACCCTTCTCCTACCGGTCCGTACACTCCCCCAAATCCTCACTCCACCCCACTCACTCTATCTTTGACGAGAGTTGCTAAAAAAAAAACTCCCTTCTTAATCTCCTTTACCTCCAAGCTTCTATCATCCCACATAAAATGAATGCCCCCGACACTTTCCGTTGCTGGGACCCAGTCATATTTCACCCAACTACCTCCCCAGACACTTCTCACAATCGCATCTGATAAAGCTTCCATTTTGGTCTCCTGAAAACAAACTAGGTTAGCGCCTCACTCTCTGACTCCCACTTTGATGATGACCCTTTTGTTTGGGTCATTCATCCCCCTCACATTTCATGAAAGAATCTTAGCTTCCATAAGTAACAATAGCCCCCTTTTCCCCACCCCCCTAGCCGAGGTCCCTTTCTCCCTATCGCACACCCGACCCCTTCTCTGGTACACCACTACATCCCCTAAGTTATTTTGCTTAACACCTTGACCCAATTCCCTCCCTGCACCTTCATATAAAGACTGTTGCTCAATCTCCCTCAACAGTTGTAGCACCCTATCTTCATTCCCTTCAAAAGAAACATCTAAGAACTTCCCAAATTTTAATAGTTTATCCTCCATCCAGAAGGACATATCCCCTCCTCCAACCCGTGACGAAATCGGACAGACGTCTTCTGTATGTACCATTTCCTTGCTCCTGCCGGAGGAATACAAGACCATAGCATTGCTAGCAGTAGGAACTTTAGGTATCGGGATGGAACCCTTGGCGGCATATTAACTAGTATTGCTGGCCCACCACTGACATCAACTGGGACAGGTGCAGCAATCTTCCCTGAAGAAGGAGTTTGGAGTGTAAGCTCAGCACAGCTAAGCACAAGGGAAGATGAGGGGGCGATGGAGCTGGGTTCATCAGAGGCGGGAGGCCGTGGATTAACACCACCAGCTTTAGCATGTGCTGCCCCTGGAGCAGTGGCCGAGGAGGGGCGTGGGTCACTAGTGCATGGTGAAGAAATGCCACTGTGTGAAGCACCATTGGCAGAAGAAGAAGGAGCGACTGCTCCCATATGCTTAGGAGCCTTAACAGACGCAACTCGATATAATCTGGGCCTCTTGGGATCAATTCTAATAGAATTGGGAAAAGTTGCTGGGCCCATGTGTGGAGGCCCAGGCCTATACTTGTTGAAAACTTGCCCGGCCCTATGATGGTTAAAGGAGGACTGGCCCATTCTGCCTTTCCAGCCCGCATCACTAACCCATGGGCATTCACGCCTTTTCCTCCCGATAAAATTTTGACTTCTTCTCCGAAATTCAAACCCCCCCCCTTCTCGATTTAACTTCTGATTCCGGCTTAGTCCACTGATCCGGCGAGTCCTCCCCTCCCTTCAGAGACTGGTTTCCCCTCTCCTCCCTTCTATTTAACCTTCCCTTTTCTTCCGCCACTACCACAGGCATAAATATAGGGCGGAATTCAGGGCTCAACCAAACCCTGTAACTCAAGTAGCCATCTTCCACCACAGTTGAGACAGTGATTCTGCCCCCTTTCCTCACCACAATCCTCACTCGCGAAAGATCGTGCAGGCTGCAAGTGACATCAATAAACCCCCACATATTTCCCCAATCTTCTTGAATAGGTCAAGGCACCAAAGATGCACCGGGAGACCCACCATGTTGACCACCAATGTTTCGCCGGGGAAACGAGGGTCGAGACACCCATCGTGCTCCACCCATCTGGCTAGCATTAACAAGAATTTTTGAAGCTTGAGACTCGTCGACAAATCGAAAGAGATATTGCGTGTCCCCTAGTTGCGATATTTTCAGCCCGTCCTTGACGTTCCATGCCTCTGCTGCCCAGTTCCTAACAGCCTCTGGAGAACCAACCCATTTGGAGAAAGACCCAATCAGACAAGATTCCAAGAAACCCTTGCGCCTGAGAGTGTGCTCCTCACACACCGAGAAGTGCGGCTCTTGCCCTACGTCGAGCTTTCGATGGCATCTTCCCCCAAGTTCTAGGGCTGGCCAAGAGACAGTTTTAATGAAAGACATATTTTCCAGTTTTCTAGATTCTAGAGAGAAGTAAGAGCTTCTCTCTGTAGAATCCATCATATCTAAATGCGGCTGACCCAAAGCTGACTGAAGAAGAAGAAGAAGTGAGAATTGGTTGAAAAAAGCCTCTCAGTCGCCGGAAAATAGTGAAAGTCGTTGGAATTTGGAAATTGTTGGATGGGTAGACTCGGAACAGCCTCGCGAAGAGGCTGTCTGAAGAAAAACATTTGAGAATTGGCCGGGATAAGCCTCACGCGCCGGCGCGTGGCTGAGAAGTCGCCGGAGCTGGGCCGCGCGTGAGGGCGCGTGGGTGGTCGGACGCCGGAGATTTTAGCTGGGTTTTGGTCGCGACAGGCTTGGCTCTTGGAGGGTGGTGATACAATCCTAGGATTCATGATAAAGTGCCTGAGAGCATTTTACTGTGTTTATGTTGTAACTTTATTATTATGACTTCTAGTTTTGGCCTTAAGCAAACAATTAGCTTTAAGAGTGTGATTTAGAGTTGAGATTCCATCAAAGCATCTTTGGTTTCTTTCATTCCACAAACTCCAAAAAATAACTGTAGGAATCATTAACCAGATCTCCTTGATGGCCTTATCAACTTCCCAAAGACTCCAGCTTGTGTATGCTTCTCTAATATGCAATGACATGACCCAGTTCAAGCCGAAAAGACAAAAAAACATGTTCCACAGATCAGTGGCAACTGGGCAATGCAAGAGCAGGTGACTGACATTCTCTGAGCTTTCCTTACACATGTAGCATCTGTTGACCAGTTGAAAGCCTCTTCTATTGAGATTATCATGTGTTAAGCAGGCTTCATATAGAGCAATCCAGCTGAAACAAATAACCTTGATGGGTAGTTTGGTCTTCCATATTAGTCTCCATGGCCAAGGGTCTGAGTCAAATACATGGTTCTGAATACAGATGTGCTTATAGCATTCTTTCACTGTAAAGATGCCCTTGTTCCCCCGCTTCATAGTGTCAGGTAGATTCTCATCAATGGTGAAGACCTCCACTCTGGCTAACATGTCTATCAAGCTGTCCATTTCCCAATCTTGTATAGATCTTCTGAGGTGCACATCCCAAATATTGCCAGTTCTGTTCTGGGTAATGGGGGAATCCTTATCAAGGGCAATCTGGAAAATGGTGGGGTATTCAAACATGAGTGGGGTGTTGCTCATCCATTTGTCTTTCCAAAATTTGATATGTGTTCCATTCCCTGCTTTGTAGTTTGTGGTCTCTTATCTCATTTGAATACTTGTGACATCTCACACAGGAGGCTTAAGTGGCCAGAGTGAAAATTTACTACTTTCTTTATAAGCTTCATTGTCCTTATACATGCATTGTCGTGATCTAAGTAGTGGTAGATGGGTTATATTCTGTTACTTATATAATATCTTTATTCTGTTAGGCACAAGATGTTTAAGTTTACTGGATCCGAATATAAAATTTTTCAGTATTCTTTGATTAAAGCATTTATAGTTGCAAATCCATGGCACATCCAAAACATCTTTCCTGAAGTACTATATTAGTCAAGTTTTCCCAAATTAGAAGTCAGAAGTCATACTTATTGACTTTATATCTCGCGGAGTAGTGCTTTTCTTCCTCTGTAAGTTAGTGCAAAATTGGTTGCAACTAGCAAACCAAATAATGATGAAAGTGGTTATATCTGAAAGAGAAATACATTAGAAGCGTCTACCTTGGATATTGGGTATGCTATATATTACTCGTATAAATGTTTCTCCCTTTCGCCAGGTCCATTGCTTGCAGTTCCTCATATATGAGGTGGTTTCTGGTGGCAACATGCGGAAGCCTGGTGGTATTTTTGGAAATAGTGGTTCTGAAATACCTATCAATGACTTGAAACAACTGGAGACATTCTTCTACAAGCTTGGGTTTTTCTTGCATGTATTAGACTACACAGGTATCTATCTTATACTGTGTTATTTATATCCTGTAAGGCTCATAAAAATTCATGATCTTTTATATTAATGTGCAAGTTAGGGTGTATAATTGATTAATTGTTGGTGATACTGTACTTATTTAGTCATAGCGATTTGCATGTATAAGAGTGTGTTAGTTCTTCTGTATCATTTTTCTGGCCTTCATATGCCACTGCTTTATGTTTTTGCACCAGACTCCTCTAACACTATTTTGAGTATATGGAAGTTGTTTATTCTGTAATATATCTTCCTTAGCATAATCCATTTCAATTCACTCCTTGCAGCTACTCTAGGAACTTTGACAGATCTTGGTTTCTTATGGTTTAGAGAATTCTATTTGGAGTCTTCTCGTGTTATACAGGTATATAAGTGCCAACTTGCTTGATGATCCCTTTTTTGCATAGTTAAATTCCTATTTGCTAGAAGTTTTGGCGTTCCATTCTGGTGGTATATCTATGGATTTCAACTTCACAGCTAAAGAGGTTCCTTTCTTAATACATATCAACATCCTGATATTCCTTTCTTGTGAGTTGGAAGTAGGAGGCGCCCTGAATCTTCTTAATATCTTAAAAGTTGTGCTTTCTGTAGTTTACCTACCCCCAAACAAATTAAAAAAAATGTACAGAAAAGGCTTTGCCTAGTTCTTCTTAATCTGTCATGGCTATTTCAAGGAACTTTATTCATATCTATTTGCAGTTCCCCATTGAATGCTCCCTTCCATGGATGTTGGTGGATCATGTGATCGAATCTCCAATCATTGGCCTTCTGGAGAGTGCCTTGATGCCATTTGACATCTATAATGATGCTGCTCAGCAAGCATTAGTGATCCTCAAGCAACGCTTTCTATATGATGAAATCGAAGCTGAGGTAATAAACCGTTAAATTCGCATATTAACATTGTTGATCCCGGGGAAAACCTTTTGGTCATCTTCTCTCCATCTTCCTAACTTCACATATGTACATGCAATCTCTATATTCAGCAGATTTTGATGCTGTTGAACTGTATTCTTAAATTCTATCTTATGAGCTAAAGGAACTCTATTATTTCGAATTTCAAGCATTATTCTCACCTTGTAGCATATGCTCATGTGATATTTAAAGTGCAATTTGTTTTAGATATTGTAATATCGATTATACTTTTGGGAAATCTAGTTTAGCAGATTCAATAGGAAGCACTATCTTCCCTTTGTGAATTAAAAGGCTTTTACAACACCTTTTGTTTTCCATATTCTCTCTAGGTGGACAATTGTTTTGATATATTTGTCTTGAAGTTGTGTGAGACTATTTTTACATACTACAAAAGCTGGGCAGCCAGGTATTTCTCTTCTTTACCTTTTACGTGTAACTTTTACTAAATGAGATGGTCTATCAGAAGTTGACGATCTCCTATTCTGCAGTGAGCTACTTGATCCATCATTCCTCTTTGCCATAGACATTGGCGAAAAGTTTGCGGTCCAGCCAATGAGATTCATAGCTCTTTTAAAGACGACTAGAGTGAAGGTAAGTATAAATATAGATTCTGTATCTGGTAATGAACTTATATGTTTTGCCGGGGTTTTTCTCCTGATTTTGTTATGTCCAGTGGCAGTTGGTTCAACTAGTAATCAAGTTACCTCGTTTTCTTCAATATATAGAATTTTCCAAATTTGCATTTGCTTCCATTTTCAAAGATTGAGAAATAAAATTCCTGATTGGTGTGCGCTGAGAAGTTTGGATGTGTTTTATTTAACAGACATGGTACAATACAAGTGACTTGTCTGACATCAACCTCTTTTACAAAAGAAAATAGGGTGGAAAAATAAGGAGATGGAAAATATGCTAGTGATATAATTATTTAACTGTTAATTTCTATAAAAAGAAAAAAAGATATAATACTGTATCTGCGAAGAGAAGATATTATATTGTATCTGTCAAAGGTTCCACAAACCTATTGTTACACGGCGCCTTCCTAAGATTTCTTGGAAAGGCGACGTAAGGCTAAGCAACTGATGTCAGTGCAGTTACTATCCGCCAACTGAGGTCCCCTCCGTACGCTAGACGAGATTGTTAGTGCCGTACGGGAAAACCAATGTCATGAGCAATTGAGAGAACAGAAATGAGAATTGAGAATGAAAGAAAGCTTGATTGCATTAATGAAAACTATTACAGAAAAGCAACACGGTGTCGAGGGGGAGAGACACCAGTACAGAGAATTGTTTGATTGCTAGAAAGTTTGATTGCTTGACCCCCTAATAATGCTTAAAAAAAATAAACCAAAGTTACAAGACTTGACCTAACTAAGCTAGAGGAACATAATGGAAGTACATGAAATAAAACTATACCTAACTAAGCTAGAGGAACATAATGGAAGTACATGAAATAAAACTACTCTATATTTACAATGAAAAAGACTTAGTTTTCTACAAGGTAGAAATAGGTCCGTTGTCAGCAACCTTGTCTTTGGCATCATGGTCTGCGCGCGCGGCGCTTTTGGTATCTGCCTGCGGCTGGGCGCTGGCGAGGGCTATCGGTGGGGCGACAGAGGCACATGCGCGCTTGTCACTTGGCGCAGCCAAGACCACAGGGCCGTCCATGGCGCTAGGTGTTGGGAGGCTTGCTAGACGCAATGGGGCGCGTCCAAGGGGTCATGGGGCATGGTTGGAAAGCCGCCTACCCCACTTTAGTTGGCGACGTCTTCGGCGCCTTAAAAAAAAAAGGCAGCCCGGTGCACTAAGCTCCCGCTATGCGCGGGGTCCTGGGAAGGGCCGGACCACAGGGGTCTATAGTACACAGCCTTACCCTGCATTTCTACAAGAGGTTGTTTTCACGACTTGAACTCGTGACCTCCTGGTCACATGGCAACAACTTTACCAGTTACGCCAAGGCTCCCCTCCTCGGCGCCTTACTTGCAAGGTAATAATCAATTAGGCTCTTGTAGGCTTTTTTGAGGTTTGTTCCCCTCTCCCAAGTATTCTCCTCTGCATCACAACCCTGCCATTTCACCAAGAACTCTTGGTGATCCTTCCTTGAGGCGTGAATCACTCGATCATCAAGAATAGCTTCAACACGCCTTTTTCCGGTTGAGTTGGGGCCTCGAATACTAGGTATTGTGAGTTGGCTCCGTGAAGGATCCTCCATGTCTTCCTGAAAAGGTTTCAGAAGACTGACATGGAAGACGGGATGGATTTTCCACCAAGCTGGGGTATCCACCCGGTATGCAACTTTCCCAATGCACCTTTCAATGGACAAGGGTCCAATGTATTTTTGCAATAGGCGAGGGTCATGGACCCCTGCAAACAAGTACTGCTTTGGGATTTTGACCATCACTTTGTCTCCTACTTGGTATTCAACAAATCGACGATTTTGATCAGCATGCCTCTTCATTCGCTTTTGGGCTTCGACAAGATAGCTCCGCACTATCTCCATTTCGTTTCCATTCTTTTGAGAAGCTAGCAGCTCGAGGAGATTTTGACATGTTTGGTGCATTTACGGTGTGTGGGAGTAGCGATTGCTGTCCGGTAACAATTTCAAAAGCGCTTTTGTTTGTACTAGAGCTCTTTTGTGAATTGAAACACAATTGAGCAACATCCAGAAGCTTCATCCAGTTCTTCTGCGATCCGGTTACAAAGTGGCAGAGATATTCCTCCAGCATGCCATTGAACCGCTCCGTCTGGCCATCAGATTGCGGATGAAAACTTGAGTCGTGGCTCAATTTTGACCCAAAGCACTTAAAGAGTTGGGTCCAAAAGTTGCTAGTGAAGCGTGAGTCGCAATCACTAACGATATCTTTAGGCAGGCCCCAATATTTGACGACATGAGAGAAGAAGAGTCCAGCTGTATCTTCTCCTGATATATATTGTGGGGCTGCTATAAAGGTAGCATACTTGGAAAACCGATCCACCACAACCAAGATAGTTGTGAGATCGTCGACCTTGAGCAATCCGGTGATGAAATCCAGGAAAACGCTTTCCCAAGGTCTCTTTTGGACAACTAGTGGTTCCAAGAGTCCCGCTTGTGTCAAGCGGTCCGACTTGTCCTTCTGGCATACTAGGCAAGTCTTCACATACTGAGCGACGTCATCGGCCATTTGAGGCCAATAATATGCACGGCGAAGTAATGCCATAGTGCGTTCTTCACCGGGATGGCCGGCCCACAAAGTATTGTGACATTCCGCCAGAAGGGTCCTTCGTAGATCTCCTCCTTTAGGAACATAAAGTCGGTTCCTTTTCACTTTTAGGAAACCATCTTCCATGTAGAACTGGCGAGTCTTGTCCTGTCCTACCAAATCAACCAAATACTGTGCAGCAGGATCCTTGATGAGTAGATCATGTATCTGGTCTTTTATGGTGGTGGCTACTTCGCTCCCCCTTAGGGTGGCGAGTAGGCACACTGATGCTAGATCAGCTCTCCGACTGAGTGCATCAGCAACATGATTAGTCTTCCCACTTCGGTATTCCAGGTTGAAGTGAAATTCCGCTAGGAGTTCCTGCCACTTGGCCTGTCGACCATTCAGCTTCGGCTGGGTCATGAAATGGCTAACAACTGTGTTGTCTGTCTTGACCACGAACGGGGTTCCCAGCAGATAATGCCTCCAAAGGCGTAAGCAATGAACGACAGCCAATAATTCTTTCTCGTGGGCGGCATAGCGTCGCTCTGCATTCTTCAGCTTCCGGCTCTCGTATGCTACAGGATGCCTTTCTTGTAGCAAGACTCCGCCAAGGGCATAGTCGGAAGCATCCATTTGTACCTCGAATGGCTTGGCCAAATCAGGGAGGGCCAGGACGGGGCTACTAGACATAGCCGCTTTCAATGCGTTGAAGGCCTCCGCTCACCTAGGTCCCCAATCCCAAGGCGTGACCTTCTTGAGGAGTTCTGTCATTGGCACTGCGATGAGGGAGTAATTTTTCACAAATCGCTGATAGAAGTTGCATAGGCCAAGGAACGCCCTCAAGGCGTGGATATCCTTAGGCGGCGGCCAATCTGTGATAGCCTGAATCTTCTGTTGGTCCATCTTGATCCGCCCTTCTTCGATGACATGTCCGAGGAAGTCAATCCGTTTTTGAGCAAAGGAGCACTTGGATAGCTTCGCATATAATTCGTGCTCCCGCAATCGGGCTAGGACCTTCCGCAAGTGCTCCAGGTGTTCTTTCAGTGTTTGGCTATATACCACAATGTCATCCAAGTAGACCACCACGAATTCGTCAATGTACTCTCGGAAGACCTGGTTCATCAGGGTGCAAAATGTGGTTGGAGCGTTAGTTAAGCCGAATGGCTTAACCGGGAAGTCGTACGACCTATATCTTGTCACACAGGTCGTCTTGTGTTCATCACCCTCTGTAATCCGAACTTGCCAATAACCTATCTTCAGGTCTATTTTGGTGAACACCGTTGCGCCACCCAGTCTATCGAACAAGTCTGCCATTAGCGGAATATGGTACTTGTTCTTCACGTTGATTTTGTTTAGAGCCCGATAATCCACACAGAGTTGTAGGCTGCCATCATGTTTCTTTTGGAATAGCACATGGGACCCGTATGGGGACTTGGAGGGCACGATGATCCCTGTGTCTAGCATTTCCGTTAACTGTCTCCGAAGCTCGGTGAGTTCGGGTTGTGACATTCTGTAAGGCGCCCGGGCGGGTGGCTTCGCACCCGGCACCAACTCAATCTCTAGGCGGGAGTCGCTTTGGCATGTCCTGTTGCATGATGTCTTCAAACTCCAGTAGCAGCTCCTTCACGGGTGCAGGAATGGGATCCGAGGAGCGTTCTATATCTTCAATGCAGAGGGTAGCCAGGAACGTAGTTCATGTCTTTTGACCCCCTTCTTCAACTTCAAGGCCGAGATGTTCTCCGCGGCCATCTTCATGGGCATGCACGGGATAATGCAGGGCTTGGCCCCGTTTGTCTCCATCATCAGTAGCATGTCTGCATACGGTACGGGCATGGTGTTGGTTTGCCTCAGGAATTCCAACCCAACTATCAACTCGAAGTCATCTATGATCACCACTCGCAAGTTGAATTTTCTTTACTTCTTTGGCTATTCCACCCACTGGCTGACGTGAGTTGATAGCCTTGACACGACCTCTGCCCTTTCCTACAACTAGACCAAGGCACTCCACTTGAGTCGAGGCTAAGTAGTTGTGGGTAGCACCCGTGTCTATCATCGCTCGAATGAGCTTGCCATTTACCTTTATCTCGACGAACATTAAGGTCGTCTCTTGTTTAAGAGGAGTCCTCTCATCCGCCTTCTTTTTCTCTTTCTTAGTGATTGGGTAGGGGTCCTTTTTCTTGCGGATACCAGCACTTGTTCCCGCTAAGGCCTCAGAAATAGAGCCAACAATTGCATTGAAGTCACCTACTGGTTCGGTCTGGTCCGCATCATCTGCGTCGTCATCCGTCCCATCATCAAAAGCTTGATGGGCGTTCATCTGTGCATGTGGGCATTCATTATTCCAATGCGGTCCGCCGCAATGACGGCATCCTGAAGGGGGTTTCCTCCCCCGATCGTTGTTGTTAGATGCAGTGCTAGTACTGCCTGAGGAGGGAGCCTTAGATTTGGTTGCACTCCGATCTCCTCCACTTCTGCTAGGGCCACCAGTGCTAGGCTGGCCCCCTTTGTATCCTCCTCGGACAGACTGTTGAGGCCTATCCTTCCGAGCTTCCACTTGATAGTCCCCAAGGCACTCCGTTGCTTGGATCGCCTTGGGTAACGTGTCTACCCTTTGTCTTTGCAGCTCCATATGGGCATTAGGTTTCAACCCTTTTAGGAATGTGAAGAGTGTCTTTGTACCCCATGTCACGTATGTTCAGCATGAGCACGGAGAATTCTCGCACGTAATCCCGCACTGATTTGGTCTGGCGGAGTTTTCGTAGCTTTATCCTTGCATTGTACTCAACATTTTCGGGGAAGAACTGTAGGCGTATGGTGGCTGCCTTCAGTTCTGCCCATGTCTCGAGAGCATCTTCACCGGCCTTGATGGTTTCGTACTTCACCCGCCACCAGAGTTTAGCATCACCCTGAAGATACATGGCAGTAGTTGCTACCTTCTTAGCTTCTTCTAGGCCCCCCACGGCATCGAAGTACTATTCGATGTCGAAGATGAAGTTTTCCACTTCTTTGGCATTTCGAGCTCCACTGTATGGCTTTGGCTCAGGAATTTTCAGTTTTTGTCCCACAGGGGCGAGATTCACAGCACCACCGATTTGGTTTCCGCCTCCTCGAAGCAGGCCTTGTAAAGCAGCATTGACTACATTGAGCTGGCCTGTCAAGTTGTCTATAGTTTGTTGCATGGCAGTTAGCTTGTCTGCCTCTTGTGCCCTGTGGGCTAAATTCTCGGCACGCTCCTGTTAGAAGCCCTCGAATTTATCAAAAAATTCGGCTGCCTCTGTGGCTGCCGTTTGCCGGTCTCCTTCTGAGTCGCGACTAATGTTTTCTATGTCAACTTTGGCCTGGAGCATTCTGCGGTCCAGGTCGTCCAACCTTTGCACTAGCCTGATTTTTAGTTCAGGCACCGTATCCATGATGGGCCGTAATACGTTAACCGTCTCTTCAAGGGCCGCGATGCGATCCCCATGATTCACCATGGTCAGAAATGGTGGTAATGGCAATGTGTTCCCTCGTCCGATGTCGAGCCTAGGCTCTGATACCAACTGTTACGCGGCGCCTTCCTGAGATTCCTTGGAAGAGCAACGTAAGGCTAAGCAACTGATGTTAGTGCAGTTACTATCCGCCAACTGAGATCCCCTCCGTACGCTAGACAAGATTGTTAGTGCCGTACGGGAAAACCAATGTCAAGAGCAATTGAGAAAACATAAATGAGAATTGAGAATGAAAGAAAGCTTGATTGCATTAATGAAAGCTATTATAGAAAAGCAACACGGTGTCGAGGGGGAGAGACACCAGTACAGAGAATTGTTTGCTTGCCAGAAAGTTTGATTGCTTGATCCCCTAATAATGCTTAAAAAAAATAAACCAAAGTTACAAGACTTGACCTAACTAAGCTAGAGGAACATAATGGAAGTACATGAAATAAAACTACTCTATATTTACAATGAAAAGGACTTAGTTTTCTACAAGGTAGAAACAGGTCCGTTGTCAGCAACCTTGTTTTTGGCATCACGGTCTGCGCGCGCGGTGCTGGCGAGGGCTATCGGTGGAGCGACAGAGGCACATGCGCGCTTGTCACTTGGCGTAACCAAGACCACGGGGCCGTACATGGCGCTAGGTATTGGGAGGCTTGCTAGGACGCCATGGGGCGCGTCCAAGGGGTCATGGGCATGGCTGGAAAGCCACCCATGACACTACTTATGAAAACTACTTACATGGATACAATGACCTCTTAAAAAGCATAGATGTCACATTAGTCTACAAAATTTAAACATATCCTCGAGGCACCATTCATTTTAGAGGAGATGCATCCATGTTGACCAGTTGTTTTTTTTACTTATGTTGAAATGTGTGACCATCTCTGCGGAAAGCTTAAGCGGTTAGAGAGAGCACAACTTTTTACTTTACTTAATTATGCCTTCAAACACGCCCGCTCATGTGCTGGGTTGATTTTCTTAATGAGCTAAGCACATGGAAATTCTTTTTGATAATGAGTGGCGGTCAGACTCGAACCCAGAATGTGAGAATTGAGACCAGTAAAAGAAATTGAGAGCAAAACTGCTTGATTACTCCCTCAAGCTATTGGGGTTTTACTAGTGAAGTCTACATATTCTAAGAAAGGAAAGAGAATAAAAAATGCAAAGTTGACGGAGTAAATCAAGCTCACAGATCCTATGCTATATTTACTAGATCCGAGTAATATTCACAAGATTAGTAACACGTCCTTGGTTATTTATTCTCCCTTTCTACATTATGGTTATATTTATGTTCTAATTTTGGAGTTGTATATGAGAATCTTGGTTTACCTACATTACGTTCACTCCTTTGGTTATTAATTTCTAACTAGAATTTTTGTTACATGCAGCTTCTAGGAAGGACCATCAACTTGAGAAGTTTGATTGCTGATAGGATGAACAAAATGTTCAGAGATAATCTTGAATTCCTGTTTGATCGCTTTGAATCACAGGATTTATGTGCCATTGTGGTAAAAACTCTCACATATCTTCTGAATTCACCCAAAACCTGAACCTTCCTTATCTCTTAATTGAAAATTTTAACACTTATTCTCTCTCTCTCTCTCTCAGGAACTGGAAATGTTGCTGGACATTTTGCAACTTACTCATGAATTGCTCTCAAAAGACCTTATAATAGATTCTTTCAATCTTATGTTGAACGAGATGCAGGAGAATGTATCCCTTGTTTCTTATTCTAGTCGACTTGCTTCTCAGGTTTGTCAGTATCTTTTTCAATCCTGTGTGAAACTTAGTATGGCAGATACTCATATTTATCTATCTCTGTTTTATCTCCTGCTCCACCTTTACTTATCTTCTTGATTCTGGTGAGTTGTGGCTTTAATTACTATTTTCTAAGCTCCGCAATTCTAGTCGGTTGTGAATATATATGTATATCACATAGTTATGAACTTCATTGATTTCTTAATACGTACTTCATGTGCAGCCAATGAAAAGGGCGACATGTTCGCAGTAGTTATGATTTGAAAAGTTAATTGTTGGACCTAATTTTGATACCATGTCTTCACCTTTATGATGTTCTGGTGCAATATACTTACTTTCCCAATTTTATTTTCTTTTGTAAGTTCTTTCTGGTTTTCGACCCTATTCTAAATTCTGCATAATGTTAAAAAATATACCTTCTGACTTGTTGGCTTTTGCTTTTTTATTTTTTTCTTTTGAAGAAAAGGAAGAAAAGATATGAACGCAAGATTCTAAATTTGCTTTCTCCTTGGGGACTGTTGGTAATTATGATAAGGGAAGAGGTACGTGGGAGTGGAGGGAAAGATGGTTGACGCACGTGTCTGTGGGTGGGGATAGGAGTGGGGTGATGGAGTGGTGCTGGGCTACATGACAAATGGGTTCTCATTCTGGGCTACATGACAAATGGGTTCTCATTCAATTCAAGCAAGTGACGAGTTCAGTTACAGTAAATAGTTGGGCATGTAAGGCTTCCACGGTGTAATAGAGGAAGGGGACAACAGAGAACTACCGAATCCTAAGCTAAGAGTTCAAAGCTAAAAACTTAAAATAGTCCCCACTCCTCCCCCCTTCCAAAGAAAAGAGAAAAGGGAGGGAAAATGAAAAAAAGAGAACAGAGTAAATAACAAGGCACTGACTTACAGTAGGTTTCATATGTAACTAGGGAAAAGCAACAATGCCTACGAGAGAACACATAAACAGAAAATGTAGCCCGTCATTTTGGTTACTGCAAGGTCTGTATTTTTATTGGAAAGGAAGTGCTGCAGCTTAGTTTATCGATCAAGTGAAGAAAAAGGTCTGTAGACCAAGATAGATGTGCTGTGCTTTAGTACGGTGCTAGTTTTATCATCAGTACAGTAGATTAACCTTGGCTGTCTTCATTTGTTTGGAGCACTTGAACGATCAATCTGCTTACATGGATAACTCGCCAATCTATGTTCTCAAATATCGTTTTGCGATATGTGCTAATTTTTCTTCCTAAATTTTATACATCTCCCTGGCCGAATTGTTTTCCTGTTAACATTTCTAATTAAGAGTCTTAATAAGACAGTTGTCAATACTGGAACAACTCAGTAATGTAATAAGGATACTTATTATGCTCTTGATGTGCTCTAGATTTGGACAGAAATGCAAAATGACTTCTTGCCAAATTTCATCCTTTGCAATACAACTCAGCGCTTTGTCCGATCATCACGAGTGCCCCCTGTTCCTGTCCAAAAGCCTTCGGTTCCTTATGCAAAGCCAAACTTCTACTGTGGTACTCCTGTAAGAAACTACCTCCTTGGCACATTTCCTGATTTAATGTTCTAGTACTCTTTAAATGGTGTTTTCTGCTGTTACCATATTGAGGCTTCTGTATGTCTATTAAGTTTCTTCAGTTGCAACTTTTTCCAGCAGTTGTTCAGTGTATTTTCAGTCGTATATTATGAATGTTACTCTCTGAGCTGAAGAAATGATATCTGAATCTTACTAATGCAATTTGAGAAAATGAGCTTAAAATTGAGCAATTAACAGTGCAAGTAGAGCACATAGAGGAAATGAAAAGGTCGAAGTGATAGTTTCGCCGCTTCCTAGGTAGATCTCCACATGCCCTTGTATAGGTGCGACATTGTAATGATTGAATGTTCTAAAGGAGATGAGGTATATCTTATGAGGTTGTTTCAGAAGACCTAAAATCTCTCAGAATCAATTGAACTAACTAAAAACAGAATACACAATTGCAGCAAATGATCTATATAAAAGTTACCAACTAGTTGGACTAAGGTTTAGTTATTGCAATTACACTTGCATTCAGTTCTGTATTTTTAAGGAGTCTTTTGAGTCAACTAGAGACGTGTATGCCAGTAAATATTCAATGAGACTTGCATGCCAGTGTAGAGAGAAATGTGAAATTTAAAGTACCTAAGTTTTTGAGAATTTGTAATTTGCTGTCACTCCCTCTGATTCATTTTTCTTAAAGTTCATGGCTATATGTATGTAATTTTTCAATGACATTATATCTTTTATCGTCTATGAATATTGGGGATTCTGTGAAAAGATCTGGTGGTGTTGTCTTTCATTCAACCACCTCAACCTCGAGTTTCTCCTCTTTAAATTTATTGTCAAATAGCTATGCAAACCTAAGTTGATCGAACTCGGGTGCGGTTGTCCGATACGGGTGCATATCTAGAGGTAGGATCTTTCATGATCTAAATTTTAAGATGTGGGGGGAGGGTTACGGATCCAGGTACGGATATGGGTGCGGGGATTCGGTTAAAAATAATTCAAATATCTATTGAGACATTACATCCAAGTAGGGCTGTTTAAGGGGAGGGGATTACCTGGAACCGGTCCGGTCCGTACCGGTACTGCTCCGTCCCAGTCCAGTTGGGGGGTAGGGGTAGGGGATTTAGGCAAAGGGAACGGGGAGTAGGAGGGTACCGGAAAAAGTACCCTTAGAACCGGTCTGGTTGGCACCCTTAAGGTACCGAATCGGTATCGGTCAAATACCCTTAGTTTTTTTAATTTATTTATTAAATTTAGCCATTTTTGACCGTTAGCCAACGGTTATTTTTAAAAAATAGCCATTGGCAACCGCCAAAAATGTCTATTTTTTCCTCCCAACCCCCCTAACAACCCATCTACCCCCTAATTTATGTTTTTAACCTCTAAGTTTGTGTATATTTAAATATAGCAATTTTTGAAAATTTTAATTTAAAAATACACCTAAGTACCCTTACTGGCCCCCTTAAGTACCCTCCCCCTAGGACCGGTAGTGGTACTGGTACGGAACCCCCAAAAGTCCCCTTACTCCATATCCTTAATTCCCCTTAGCCTCAGGCCCCTTAAGGAATCCTCTCCTTACCGGTACAGCCCCCTTTACCCAGTCCCCTTAAGTACCCAGAACCCTCCCCTTAGACAACCCTACACAAGGTATTCCGAGAAGGATAAAATATTGATCAAGAGAAAAGTTCAAGAAGGAGATAAAAGAAAAGTTAGAAATTTCTATATACAAGGTATTCTATTTTCTTCAATTTCACCTTAACTTTTGTTTTGAGTTCAAAAATCACTGTATCTGTCCCGAATTTCTGTCAATTTTGGGCAAAGTATCCAAAATTGGTTGACTAGATCCGGTACGGATCCCACACCCATACCCATGTTGTGTCGACACAGGTGTGACACCGAAAGTGGAGTCCGAGCAACTTAGATGCAAACAACTTTTTGTCATATTTGTATTTGATTTGAAGATAATGATATTTCAGTGTGTCTTGGATAGACTGGATACAATTACTTTCCATGATATTTGGATTATTATATAGCATAATTAATCAATTCCCTTTGTTCTTGCTGTAGGATTTGAATTCTGCTTACCAGAGCTTTGCTCGATTGTACTGTGGTTTTTTTGGCGTTCCTCACATGTTTTCTCTAGTCAAGCTCCTGGGATCTAGGTCACTGCCTTGGCTTATGCGAGCCCTTTTGGATCATATATCGAACAAGGTAACAGATCTATGACAATTACTAGTGTCTCTCCTGATAATGTCCTGCATTATTATTTCAGTTTTCATGTCACTGTACTGGAACCACTGATTTATCATGAATATTTTCCCTTATTTGGTAATCATCTTGCTGACTTTAAGTTCATATAAATGAAAATATTTTTAGCTTCATCTGTCTGCAATTTGTGGCATATTATCATTACAAAGCTCTGGTTTAAATGCTAACGCATTGCGAATTCTCGTCCAGATAACTACTGTTGAACCAATGATTACTGGATTGCAAGAAGCTTTGCCAAAATCTATAGGGTTACTTCCATTTGATGGTGGTATATCAGGTAAGTTTGTCGCATTATGTAGCAAAGTTGACCTCCAAAGGTATCTAAATGTCAGCTTTTTGAATGACTCGTATCCTTCTGCCTCACCTATACTGGTAGCAGAAATCAACTTCAGTGAAGGTGCCATCTCCCTGTGGGAGACTTTTCTTGTACTAATCCAGAGTATTTGGTTACCCATATTCACTGTCCTTTGAAACTTGATATTGCTGGCCTCTTACATCTCCTGTTAGTGTAAGTTAGTTTTTGAAATGGTAGTCACGTTGCACCCTTTCTTGTTTTGCCTTACTATGTGTAATATTCCTACTGCCTTCTTTCAGAAGGAGAAGCAAAACCTCCTTCAAAATTCTATTTGGGTAACTCTGGTTTATGTTAGACTAAGTGGGCGTTTGGACATAAGAATTGTAAAATTCTGAAAAAACGTGAATTTTTTTTCAAGTGAAAATGGTATTTGAAAATTAGAGTTGTGTTTGGACATGAATATAATTTTGGATTGTTTTTGAATTTTTGTGAGTGATCTGAGTGCAAATTTTGAAAAATAGCTTTTTGGAGTTTTTCAAATTTTCGAAAAATTTCAAAATTCATCTTCAAGTGAAAATTGAAAATTTTATGGCTAAACGCTGATTTCGAAAAAGTGAAAAAATTTCGAAAAAAGTGAAAAAAAAGTCATGGCCAAACGGGCTCTAAATACTTGAGCTTATTTGGTCCACAGTAGGAAGCTTCTTGTACTTTAGGTATTGTGTGCGAGCCAAGTGATTAGTCTTCTTCTCATCTAGTTTGCCTTCGAGGGAGTTAAGGCTGAGTATATTTTCGGATTTTGAGTTTAATAACCTCTCATAAAGATTTTTATGCCTTGGTGATTGAATTAGGAAAGAAGAGAATGTTTGAAGTATTGCTAAATAACCTAAACTTGGATGCCTTTTCCCCTTTCAACTATAAGGGCTCTAGATGTTTCTCTCTTTTGCTCCTCAACGTGAAGTATTGCTAAAGAACCCAACTTGGATTTTTCCCTTTCAACTGGCTCTAGATATGTATCTTCTTTGGTCTTTAATGTGCTCTCAACATCAGGAATATGGAATGCGGAGACAATGTATTTGTTCAGTAATCTTGCTGCAAGTTTGAAATTGAAAATTTCTAATTAGTTTCCGAGCACCAATTTAGTAAAATATGTTGCTCTCTCAGCATAGTCTCTTAGGTTTTGTTCTATTAGTTATGATTTATGGATGTAATCTTTTCTAGAGCAGCTTTTGTAATGTATTTCAAACAGGCAGAATCTTGCCGTAATCTTGGTTAGAAGTTTTAGTTAGAATCAGTTTGTATTTATCTTTTATAGCATATATGTTATTCCATGTTTAGAAAAGCAGCTATTTCATATAGTTTTCTTTTAAACTGGGTTAGCAGTATTCTCAATGGTAGAGCGGCCTTGCTGCCACGATCCACTTATATTCAGCCCTTTAAAACTTGGCTAGCGGCAAAACCCTGGTTTTCAAGCTTCAAATCACAAAAGTTTGCATTTCCGAAGTCACGTCAATTCTTTTACCCAGGGTTGTAAATAGCGCTCGCCTCAGCGCTAATAGCGTGGGGCGTAGCGATGCGAGCCTCCATCGCTTTTCTGCTGTGTTGCGTTGTGTTTTACAAATAGCGCTCGCCTTTGCCTGTGTAGCGAGAGGCGACACTGTAGCGAGATGCGACTATAGCGTCGCTTTGGATTAAAGAAAACGACTCGCGATTAGGGCTTTGAGCTTTCAGACATTTCTTTCTTCTTCACGCTTCAAACAGCAGAGCAGCTACATCGATTTCTTTCTCCAGCCATAGCCACAGTGGTCGACCCAGCCACATCTCGAGTTTCTGCCATTTTCTTCTTCATCCAAGTCGACCCAGGTATGCTTCTCTTCTTCTTCGAGTTTCCTTTTTTCAGTCTTCTTTCTTCTTTCTCCTTTCATTCTTTCTTTCTTCCTTTTTCTTCTTCTTCTTCTTCTTCTCTTTTTTTTTTTTTTTGGCCTCTGTTTTTTATCAAGCAGCAGTCAACAGAACAGAGTCTGCTTTTGCTCTGTTTTTTCTTCCTTTTTCTTCTTCTTCTCTTCTTCTTTTTTCTTTTGCTCTGTTTTTATCGAGCAGCACCCTGTTTTTGATCTGTTCTGACTTGTCTTTCTTTTTGTTCTTCAGTTCTTCTTCTCTTCTTCTTTCTTTTTTTGCTCTGTTTTTTG